GCAGCCTCGGCTGCCTATGTTCGATGAGTTCAGTGACCCTGGCACGTTTTGCCATCGAGTCACTTCCGAAGCGTCCTGGGTTTCCTCGCTGACACGGATATGGTGCACGTCCTTGTTGACTGGCAGGTTCTGGTACGGCGCGCGGCCGGTGACCGTCCAGCCGAGCAGTGTTCTCACGGCGCACGGCGCACCCGGTGGTCCGTCGATCACCTCACGTGCCACGATCAGTTCTATGACGTCAGCGCCCAGAAGTACTTCTACTGGACCTCGAGTCGCACTCGGCAGATCCAGGTCAGCGAGATGAGGCCATTTGCCCTTCTCCCGTGACCAGTCCATGGCGTGATTTGACACACTCAGCGTCGGCGTCGTTTGGGCGTTCCGTATTTCGTGACGTGTGCCACCGCTGCTGACAGGCTCGATCACGAAGGACACACGGCATGATCTGAGTTTCACTTCCGTTTATGGTACTCAGGACCGAACTGTCAATGGGTCCAGAGATGCCGAGACGGTCGCTCAGGCCTTCGGTCACCAGCGTTACCTGGCTCCCGAGGTCGAGAAGCGCGTGGGTCGTGCAGCGCCCAGCAGGACCATGCACCGTTATCGGCAGTGTCTGCAGCAGCACCTTACAGGGTGGCTCGACCACCGCAGTGCCGACATGTTTCACTGGTGACGGCGCGCTGCCGGCAGCACTGCGCCGTGGAAACACACGGCCTCCGTTGTGCAGAAGCGTGTGGTGACGTTTTCCACAGTTCTCGTGTCCACAGTTTGTACCGGACGGGCACGCGGCGCTGATGTGACCTCGCGCGAGACAATTGAAGCAGAGTCCGTTACAACCGGCAACCTCTGCTCTCTCGCTCGCTGTCAGCTGTAGGAACCTGTCACAGCGCTCTACGACGTGTGTCCCCTGACAGAATACACATGCGTCCTCACTCGCGACCGGCGCTGCCTTTATTGCACTAATTTTCTGTTTTACGACCTCTCGGGGCGCGGCCGGCGCTAGCGCAGTCGCGTAAACACGCCGCTGCCGGCTCTCCCCACTGTTGACCTCGGCCTTGGATTGCTGGTGGCCCGTCAGGGTCAGGGACGCACGCCCAGCAGCCACGTAGCCGCGCAGCCAGCTGTCCAGGTCGGGGAGCGTGGGGCGGACGAGTCCGTTGTGCACAGAGTGCTCGCCCCATTTCAAAGCCAGCGCAGCAGGAAGCTTGGAGATCACGGCTGTTACATTGGTGGCAGCCGAGATGTCCGCGTCGTAGTGAAGGCACTGTAGCACACGAACCGCGGTGCGAAGGTCACGTGACAGCTCTGTCACAGCCGACATATCACCATCTTTCACCGGCCGCGAATCGAGCAGTTTTTTCATCGTCGCGTGAATGACCCGTGCAGGGTCACCGAACTCCTCCTCTAGCTCACGCATAGCCTCACCGTACAGAGAAGAGTCGCACAACATACCGCGCACTGATTCCTTGGCCGGCCCGGTGAGATGAGCCTGGAGATAGGTCAGGCGCTCGACGTCAGTCAGGTCGTCTCGATCGTGCACTAGAGCCCTGAACAGCGCGATCCATCTCGGCCATTCCAGAGCGGAGCCGCTGAACTTATCCAGGGTCACTCGAGGCAGCTGTGGAGTCGTTTGCTGTCTCACGGGCTGTAGCGGACGTCGTGCTTCCTGCTGGTGACGGTCGTCGTATGGCTGCGCGCTCACCAGTTGTCCGTACTGGGAGGACTGCTCCACCCAGTCCCGGGTGCGTGAGGACCTGTCACCCGGCTGCAGCGGCTCACGCAGCTGGGCGGCTGGCTCACTTGGAGCTGCGGCAGCAGGCCGAGCTAGAGCCTGACGGTCGACGGCAGATGGCTGGTGATCATACTCCTCCTCCTCGAGCAGCTCCAGCTCCAGCTGACGGCGTTCCGCTTCGTCGGCGAGCTGTTGAGCTTCGAGAGCTGCCCGCTGTCGTGCCAGTTCCGCCTCTTACCGCGCCCGCTCCGCCTGCGTCTCCGCCTCCTGCCGTGCCCGCTCCGCCTGCGTCTCCGCCTCGCGACGCGCCCGCTCCGCCTGCGTCTCCGCCTCTTGCCGTGCCAGCTCCACCTTTGCTGCGGCCGCTCGCTGGCCCTGCTCCGCTGCGAGTTTGCTCAGCGCGGCTCGGCGGCGGGCTGCGCTGATGGTGGACGACGCTGCGCTGCCGAAGGTCTCGCTGCGGGTATGGCATGTCCGCGAGCTGCGCGTAGATTTCGCGTCACACTGTGCGACCGCCCTTGCGTCCGACCTGGCGTTCGATTTCGCGTCGGATTTTGCGTCTGACATCACTCCTTCACTGCACTCGCGTCCGGACTGTACGTCCATTCACTCACTAGTTCACATACATCCGGCCCGGAGGACCAAAATGTTCGTGTGAATCGTGATCGTTCACTCTGATCCAGCACGGCAGACCAAAGTGTTCGTGTAATCGTCGAGTTCACTAATAATTGCGTATCTGATCGAATCGTTTCATTAACTGGAGGACCAAAAGAGTTCTTTGGTGAATGTCTATTTCTTGAATATTCACCACACAATGCACGTTAATCGTATCGTACGACGCCGTCGCCGTTGCGCCGGCGGAGCCGCGTCGCCGTCGTCGTCGCGTCGCGAACTGCCGAGCCGGCCGGCGGCGGCCGGCCCGGCGCGTCGGGCCGGTCATCGCACACATGTGCCCCAGATGACCACGCGGGCCCCAGTACACCACGTGGGCGGCGAGGCTCGGCTGAGCCCGCCGATCGCTGCCGTCTCCTCCACGGCACAGTACGTTTTCTCTCGAACATTTACCAAAAATACAGTCAAAGAACTTCACGAAAAGTAAATTCAGCTTGCCTAAAACGCAATGTTTTTAGATGACCTAGGTTGTACAGACACACAAACCCACAGACATACAAACACATATCAGTGACCTTGACCTAACTTGACCTGAAATGGCCTCAGCCAGCCAAAACCTAGTCGGATAGTGTAACAAAGAGGTTCTTGCTGGCTTGGCACCACAATACGTCAGCGTCATCGGTATATGATAAGCAGCGCACTTGATATCCAACGGTGACCCCAAACAGCAACATTTTTTGTTTGACCTGACCTGGAAGGTCACTGACTGACCTGAGAAGGTAAAACTGTGTATCATTGGATTCGTCTCTTCCCAAAAAAATCTTTTTAGTCTTTACCGCGAAGCTCTATCTCCAGCAGGAACGAAATGGCGCGGGGGTGGCAACCCCCCCCCCCCCCCCATGTGCGTTCTAGGATGGGAAAGTGGCATGTGCGGGCGAGGGTTAAATTGCGTAGTTGAATTCACATGCTGAACGAACTTCATCATCGGAACTTGTAGATCGTATAACAAAATGTGACCCGGGTTGCAATGTACAGTACATTCTAGGTATGTCAAGGCGTTAGTGTGACTGGTTAGTCAATCTGGTTGTGAATTTATCGTTGGTGGGTCCAGTGAATAATTATCAGCTTGTTTACTTTGTGTCTCTTGTTCTGGTGTAATTGCCTGCATTATCTCTAAGTCATTCGTTCCATAGATATTTTATCTACATGAAGATGCCCATCCAATGTCGAAACACTTTATTTTCTGCCGTCTGACTGCTTTACACTCGTGATCGATGGTATCAGCATTCTCCTTGGTAGAAAACGAGTAAAATGAGATGTTCAAAGGTCATCGACCATCACTGTCGTCAAAATATTTCAGTAAAGTCGTACCCTATTTCGTTTTCGGAAACCTCCTTCGGGGAAATAAATCCAAAGTAAAGCTAAATTTGTCAGTTAAAAGTCGTGAAATCAAGCTCGCACGATGTTTCAGCTCACATTCCCTAACTTGAATTCCTCCAATGAAACGGCAGGATAATAAGCGTCAGGGCATCTCTATGTATATAAGACCTCTATGATCCGTTCTACATGAATGGAAAGATGTGTTCTGGAACAAACGTTGATATTATATCTCTTGATTCACAGGCATGCACATTGACCCAGCAGTGGTGCAAGAATGCGAATGGCAAGCTCTGCACTGATTCCTCCGTTTTTAGCATTAGTGTTTCGCGTAACTTTCCGTTAAACGGACGGGGCCGCCGCCGGCCCCGGCCGCCGCCGTGCGAGTCGGCCGCCGCGCCGCTACGGACGACTGGCACACGCCACAAGTGTGATGGATTTTCGGCCAACGCGGCGACACCGGCGTAGCGTTCAATTGGCCGCGCTGCCCTGACGCTCCGGTGACGGACAGGTGGACCGAGGGCGCCGCCCGCCCATCCCTCCGGACCAGGCCAGGCCGGCCGATCTGAGGGAGGTAGGGAGGAGCCGCGTGGCTGGCCGAATGGACGGCCGCGCCGGGCCATTGTCACTGATTGTTGGCCATTGTCACTGATTGTTCATTGCCGCACCGAGGTCCGGCGATGTCACCGGAATGCCGCCACTGGTTTGAGTTTCCGCGAAACCGGCTTGCCCAGAGATGTTTGTCACTGGCATTGCTATGTGCTATTTGTGATGTTCATATATACCATTCCCGTTACGGAGTACATATCTTGTTTTGAACGTTAAGTTCCGATATACGAACTGGCCGTCTGAAAAAGAGCCGCACGTGCACGATGCTTGTAGATATTCCTGACGACCACGAACCGACCACGAATCAGAACTGCGCCTCTCGTAATGGGAGTGCGAGTAGTTGTTGCGAGTTAGAGCTCCTTGGCGAGTGGCTGACTCTGAACTGACTGACTAAACACCGGTTAGCTGTTTCACCAGCAGTCCCAGTGGAGGGAAGTAGGCCCAGGCGAGCAGGGTGTCGCAGCGTAAGTCCGACGATGGCGGCGCAGTAGTCGAATGGCGTCCACATTTAGCCGACGAAGGCTGCGCTGAGCGCCATACCCGCCTCACCTTATCTCCGAGTCACGTGTTCATGACTGACACGGGCAACCATACGGCCCGTCGTTGCCCACGCGCACCCCAGACGGGGCCGCCAGTCGCGGCCCCGGACACGTCAGTCCCCAGATCTGCAGTGATGTCGCCCGGCTCTGACGATGGCGCACAGCCGCCGTGTCCGCGGTCTCCGTCGCCGCCGCGGTATGCGGCGCTGGGCGGCGACTCGTACATGTCGCGGTCTCGCCATTGGGGGCCGAACGATTCGCGGCTCCCGCCGACCCCGCCGGCGACGAGTTTCCTCCGGCGAGTCCTGCGCCGTCTGGCGTGGTCGACGCTGCCCGGGAGGTTCCTGGCTGGCAAGCTGCTGCTGTGTCTACCGACGCACAGAGGTCAGTAGCTCCGGTGCCGGCCCTGCAGTGCTCTGAGAGAGCGTCGAGACCGCCTAACCGATTCTGTCCCTAATTAAGGTCTTTGTAAATATGTGTTCATCGTGCATCGTTTGTGATGTGAGCCGCGTGATCAGCTGCTAACTGATAATTTTTACTGCGATTTTGCTGTGGTCGTTGCTGGCGAATTGTTTAGTAATGTCGTGGCAAGCTGGTTGGGGACGCCCGTCTGGCTGTTCTGTTGACGGAACGCGCCGATCGACATGGCATGCAGCCATCCAGCGCCTCAAATCGGCGAATCTGTCCAGCGTGGTCTCAATGGAGTGCTGAGCGGTGCTAAAGGACATGGTTATTTTCATGCGTTCTGTTCACAGTTTTGTCGTGGCTGTGCTGTCCGCGGCCGTGCTCCACGGTTGCGACGTCTGCGGCCAAGCTGCCCGCTGCTGAGCTCCGCGGCCGAGCTGCCAGCGGCCGTGCTCTGCGGCCGTGCTCTGCGGTCGTGCTCTGCGGCCGTGCTTCCCGTGGCTGGGCCCTCCGTGGTCCCGTGATCGTGGCCGCGGCGAGGGTGCCGCGACCTGCGCGATGCCGTGCGCTGCAGTGATGGCGCCGCGCACTGTGCAGTGATTTTGCCGAGCGCTGCGTACGCGGTGGGTGCCGCGCGCCGCGCTGTTGAGCGTGCCGTATTCGGACGGTGGCTGCCGCGCGCAGCGTGGTGATTGCTGCGCTCTGCCATGAGTGCCGCTCACTGCCGTGGCCTGAGTGCCGCGCTCGGACGGAGTGCCACGCGCCGTTGTGTTGCGTCGCCTTCTGCCTTTTGATATGTGCTATCTCCGAATTTAATGTTGCTTGTTGCCGATGTTCGCTTCTTTTCGTTAAGAGGGTCGGGTATAGTCGGTCGATTTATTCGCACCGTTTGATTTCGTACCGGCTTCTCTTCTGTTTCTTATTGTTTTCTGCGATGTCACTTGTCCGATTTTATATCTGATTAATTCACGTCACTTAAGTATTTATTTTATATTGTCATAATAACTTACGGCGCTGTTCCTTTATTTTCTGTTTAGTTGCAGCCCTAGTACCTTAATTTCCGATGTCTCTTCGGTTTGTTGTCGCTCGCATGTTCAGAGAGTCCTGGTTGGCCGGCGCGAGCGGCGGTTGTGGAATACAAGCTCGTCTGTGAAGGTTGTGTGTCGGAGCCGGGTTGGCGAGGCGGGACCCGTCTACATTTCAAACACCATTGCATTTCTCTCATCAAGACGCGTCGAATGATGAATAATGTGACCTCAAACATAGGCGCGGGAACCGGGGAGGGGGCAGTAGGGGCAGCTTGCCCCCCCCCCCAACTCTGGGGCCGTGGGGCCGTGTATCTTATGGTCAGGGCGCGTGTTTGAATTTATTTTCGGGGGTTGGGTCACTTAACTTGACCTGGTGACCTGACCTTTGATGACCTGGAGCTAAAATTTTCAAAGCCTGTACGGAAAAGACGTATAATAAGCTGTACCAAACCGTTTTTGAGATGTCAGCGAAAACCTGGGGGGGGGGGGGGCGTGAAAACGCCGAGCGGGTTAATGAACCAGTAAGACGCCTTTCGGGGCGATACGCGAGCGAGCAAAAGGATGAGCCCTGCAAGTGCGAAACTGAGTGGGGGTATTTCCAACTGACTTTTGCACGGCACCCTGCCAACCGGTCGCTATCGGTGTATCAAATCTGAGCACAATCGGTCCAGCCGTTCCTGAGATCTGGAAGCGGCACCCTCCACGTGCGCACGTGTAGTACACTTCAACGTTGGTCGTTGACGCATTGAAATACATTGCCAAGTTGCTCATAGGTACTCAGAATTTTCCGCCATTCTACGAAAGCTTGCTTCGCTCGCTCCGCTGGCTCGCTTGTAATAAAGCACGTAAAAAATATGTCAACTTAAAGTGCAATTTAAAAACAAAAATGTACGTCCACCTATGCACTACATTTCAAAGCAAAAAAAAAAATGTCCACTTATACCGTTATCTCAAGACAAAAAAAAATATGTCCACCTAAAAGTACAGTCCACCGAAACGCTTTTTTGCACCCAAATTCGACCGGCTACCACATCAAAACTAACCGGCATAGGACAGCGGCCAGTTGATATTTTCTTGCTACCTACCTGACGTGTGCTGCCATCTAAAAGTCATCCTCCCAGCATGCGTAGTTTTCAAGTCCACCGAAAGACGAAATACGCTAAAGTCCACCCATCCCGGAATTTGGAATATGTGTGGGTTCCTTCCCCGGCCGCCTCGCCTCCCATTATGTATTCATGCCTCTGACCGCCCCGTCGGCTCGGGTGGCGGTACGGGGCGGCGACGGAGGGTCGTGACTGAGGTCAACCGCGACAAATTATCGTCCCGGTCGCGCCCGGCGAGCCCCATTGTTGTGGCGAGAGAATGCTGCGGTGACGGCCGGGCGGCTCATAGGACCATTGTGTCCAGTCATGGTCTGTCACCGATGGCCGCCTGTCACCCGTCACGGAGACGTCACAATCGTCACACAGCGCCGTCACGTCGCCGAATCTGGGCTGTGACACAGCTGCGGTTACGACTTCAGCCGGCGGCCCAGCTCGAAATGAGTTCTTCGTCACGGTGGACAGTTGTGAAACGGTGAAAAGGGTGCCGAGTGGTTACGGTGCTGCCTCACTATGTGCTCTGTTCATCTTGTGCTTGATGAGCTTCATGGTTGGAGAGCTGGTTTCTTGGTAGTTGATTGGGAGAGGCTATTGGAAGAGCCACTGCCACATGCGAGTCCATGTGGAAACTTACATTCGGCTACCGTAGACGAATGAGTGGCGCTAATGGCTTCTCTCGTGCTCTCGTGACGGAAACTTGCGACAGAAATTGCCGACACCAGAAACTTGTACTGGAGAAAGTGGCAGTCAACTATTTGTGTCATTCACCTACGACGTCAACCCACGCGCTGGCTGTCGACAAAGATGTTATCCAGCTGACCACCAGGGACCTTACGACGCTTGTCGGACTATCTAGCCACGGCATCTTTGGAGGGCCGAGTCTCTCCACCTCCTAGACAAGTCGGAGTTATACTGAGGACAGTACCGACTCTTTGTGGTGTCAAAATCGATGCTTTCCGTCAGCCTGCTCTGGATCCATGTCCAGCGCGCAGCGTGATAACCCTTCATTTGCGGGTCTGTCGTGCGACAGAAGTGCGACAGGAGCCATTTGCCCGGTTCCGACGGACAAATGGTAGTCGTAAATCGGACTCTGAGATCGGGTCCGATCGCGCTAGCTCCTGGGAGGTCCGAACGGTCGAGCCACCATCAGATGAGCGCTACATCTGATCACGTTAGACATTTTGAGGTTACCATGAAGCCGTGTGAGCTGCGCTGACGGACAGCGACGTAGGGTGATAACAGCAAAGTCTCGACTTTGTGCCTTGCGCTAATGTGAAGGAGAAGGTATTGCTGTTCCGACGACTTGGAACTTGGAAGTGGCAAGGCATTCATAAAAAGGCACATAAATCGTATGTCGATTGATGAATGTTTGCACCTCCGTTCATTTTATTTAACTAGTATAAAATACAAAGTGATCTGCAGCTTCATCGGTCCAATGAAATGCAGCTGACCATTCTGTCAATACAGCTTTGAGCGTGATAAGCCAAATGGATCAACGGAGCGGGGCTGCGCTCTTTTGCCAATATCCACCCTCCTCGCCGTTCACCAGGCTATATTGCGTCTTGTAAAATGGATTCAGATTGGGTCTAAAATGCGGCACTGTACGGTAGATTTAACAGACATAAAGCAGATTTACGGCAACGCCGTCATCGACGACAGCTGATAAACAACCCTCTCTCACGTCTCTTGAGTACCCTCGCCTTACCGCGCAGGCGGCGACACTCGAAATACAATCCGCCCCCGTCGCGTTTAGCGGAGCAGAAAGCTGGATCGGGAGCTCCTCTCTGCCTGTCGGCGGTGGCGCTACTTTAGGACGTGCCTAACCGATTCCCTTCACCGGCCTGCCACCCTGTCCCCACAATCGCACCAGCAGACCCAGATGCTCCCCGCACAATCGGGAGCAGCGGCCCGCACGCCTCGGGGGCCAGGTGCACCGGACGCCGCTCCAAGAGGCGGCACGTGGCGGCGACGACAAAGGCGACCCTCTGTCGGGAAGGGCTGCGAGCCGCTTCACTGCCCGCCGGCCGCCAGCCGTCGCTGCTTCCCTCCCTCCCCACTCGGCGATGATTTAGCACCGTTCGCCTTCACGCCGCGGCGCCGGGAAACCCATTCAGCGTCGGACCGGCCTTTTTCTCGCCTTTTCCTTCGAGCGCCGGCTGTTCGGGACGCCCTTTTCTGGCTGGGTGCCGACCGACTTGTCTGACGAACGACGGCGCAGCTGAGGCGAGCGACGGCGTACGGCGCGCGCTCGGTCAACCCCCCCCCCCCCCCCCGCCTTCTGAGGGGGACTAATTGACCATGCCGGCTTGTCCGTCATTAGCGTGATTGGAGGGGTGCCGCGCCGCGCCGAACTAACTAGATGCAAATGGGGCGGTGTTGGGTGGCGGCCGAGGCGCCGTCGGACGCCCTCGGGCGTCGGACCGCCTCCGAAATGGCCCGCTCAAGTGCTACCGTCCGGGCGGTGGTCCCACCCAGCACGATCCCCGACGGACGGCTGTCGGTCCGCTGCGGAAAGACGGGTGCACGGAAGTCTGACTTTATAATTGGTAGTTGTCGATGCTGTATACACAGTCGTGCAGGGTTTTTAGTGGTTTGGTAGAGGGCAGCAGCCGGCACCAGCGCGGTGATTATATGAAATCGTCTGAATGCTCCAGCTGCGGTTCTTTCTAAAGCGACAGAGACAGATAGTTTAGCGTGCGACTCAGGTTACAGCCAGCTACAGCTGCTATCTACCTGAGATCTGGACCAGACCCCCAGGCTGTATGACGGCAAACTCTGCGCCCATTCACTCGCTCACTGTTATGCTAACGGGCAGGCGACTCGCCGTTTCTCCCAGCTACCTTCTCGACGG